CTGGTCACTTTAACGTAGTTAGGCCAGGAGTGGTGGCTCATGCCTGTAATCCTAACCCTCTGGGAGGCCAAGATGGAAGGCTTGCTGGAACTCAGGAGTAGAGACCAGCTTGAACAAAAGTGAGACTTTGTATACTTACTTGGCAGGGGAGATACCATGATCACAAAGGAGGTTTTCCCAGGCTTATCCATTGCACTCCAGATGTGCTGACCCCTGCGATTTCCCCAAAGGTGGGAAACTCGACTGCATAATTTGTGGTAGTGGGGGACTGCGTCCGTGCTTTCCCCTGAAAAAAAAAAGAAAAAGAAAACAAGTGAGACCTTGTCTCTACTAAAAATAGAAAAATTATCTGGGCATTCTGGTGGTTGCCTGTAGTCCCAGCTACTTGGGAGGCTGATGCAGGAGGATTGCTTGAAACCAGGAGTTTGAGGTAGCTGTGAGTTAGGCCAATACTGTGGCACTCTATCCTGGGAAACAGAATGAGATTGCATCTAAAAAAATTTTTTTTCTTTAGCATCATATTCAAGTTATGTGACTGAAGTGGTGATATTAGCACTTGTTCAGAAATTCCAAGAACAACACAAATAGATGGTGTCTGTTGTGTGCTTTGTAGCTTTTATTCTACGAACATTTCAAATAAGATTCTGCAGAAAGTATAGTCAGTAATTTTAGCAGAACACTAAGAATCTCCACAAATGTAAGAAAATCTATTGTTATTTAACTTCAAAATTTTGTTTTTATATGAACCATGATAATTGTTATATGCTCTAATTTCCCATTTTAACATAGTTAAAGGTATTTATTTCATGAATTTTTTTTTCTCTCATTCTATTACTCTAGGTAGAGTACCATGGTGTCATGACTCACAGCAACCTCAAATTCATGGGCTCAAGAGATGGTCTTGCCTCAGCATCCTGAGTAGGTGGGACTACAGGTATCCTCCAGTATACCTGGGAAGTTTTTCAATTTTTTTTTTTTTTTGACAGAGTTTCAAGCTGCCACCTTGCATAGTGTGCCATGGCATCACAGTTCACAGAAACCTCAAACTCTTGGGTTTAAGTGATTCTCTTGCTTCTGCCTCTCAAGTAGCTGGTACTACAGGTGCCCATCTCAACACCTGACTATTTTTGTTGTTGTTGTTGCAGTTGTCATTGTTGTTATTTTAGCTGGCCCACGCAGGGTTTAAACCTGCCAGCCTCAATGTATGTGGCCAGCACCTTACCCACTGAACTATGAGTGCTGCCAAGTTTTCAATTTTTTTTTTTTTTTTTGTAGAGACAGAGTCTCACTTCATCACCCTCAGTAGAGTGCCATGGCGACAGCTCACAGCAACCTCCAGTTCCTGGGCTTAGGCGATTCTCTTGCCTCAGCCTCCCCAGTAGCTGGGACTACAGGCGCCTGCCACAATGCCCAGCTATTTTTTGTTGTTGTTGTTGCAGTTTAGCTGGGGCTGGTTAGATGGGGCCAGTGCCCTACTCACTGAGCTTCAGGTACCGCCCATGTTTTTCAATTTTTAGTAGAGACAAAGTCTTGCTCTTGCTCAGGCTGGTCTTGAACTCCTAGGCTCAGCCTCTTTGACTTCCCAGAGTGCTAGGATTACAGTCATAAGCTACCACACCTTGCAGCTACATTTCTTAAATATATTATATCTTAGGAATTTAGAATATTCTTGAAGATATATTAATGTCTCTCTGATTACAAAATAACTATTGTTTTATAATTATCTCTGGGTTAGGATATGTTTATCAAGACTGTTATTCATATATATATATATGATCACATACATGCACACATACACACCCACATATACAGCAAAACTTCTCTAAATTGATCCTTCAAAGGACTGTAATAAATTGTCAATATATGGAAATGGTTAGCATAAGCAACTAGTTTGTACTTCCACAAACATGTGCTGTATGTGTGGTCTGTGAATATGACCCACTTGAAAAGGTTGTTAGTGTAGGGATATGGTCAACTGTTCATGTTCTACTGTGTGTACATAAACACATGAATAGATACATAAGCAAACTCACACTCACAAATGTGCCAAGGTCTCCATGATAATGAGTGAGGACCTTCCTCTAGGTCTGTGCTTGGCTAGGACCACTCCCAGATCGTGGCTAATTTTAGATTTCTCAATGGGAGAAAATTGATCCGGCCATTCTCCAGCCTGTAACCAAGACTAGAGGTCCTCTAGTTTGCCAAGTGAATGACAGTCTGCCTTCTCTAAATGTCCCTTCTTTTATTTATTTATTTGTTTTTTGAGACAGAGTCTCAAGGTGTCACCCTGGGTAGAGTCCTGTGGCCTCACAGCTCACAGCAACCTCAAACTCTTGGGCTTAAGCACTTCTCTTGCCTCTGCCTCCCAAGTAGCTGGGACTACAGGTGCGTGCTACAATGGCCAGCTATTTTTTGGTTGTAGTTGTAATTGTTGCTTGGCAGGCCTGGGCTCGATTCGAACCTACCAGCTCTAGTGTATGTGACTGGTGATGGAGCTGCTTGAGCTACAGGCGCTGAGCCTAAATGTTCTTTTTTAAAGGCATTAGAAGGATTTCACAATCTGCACCCTGGGTCCTAAAGCTCTCA